ATTTCATGATCTGAGAAAAGCAGGCTTTGGCATTAGATAAAACCTTTTTACAATGGTTCCTAGTAGTAATAAACAGACGTCTGTTTTCTGGAGAGCTGTTTTGCTGATAGATATGGAAGTAATGGTTTTCCATTGGCAATTGCAGCAGCACAATATGAGGAAAACTATTGAGAAGAGTGAGGTTTGACCTGGAATTCGAGAGGGAATGAAGGATTCCATGCCAGCCAGAATCCACGAAGTTATGTAAGAAGCACATTTGTCAACAGGAAGACGAAAGATTTCTACCCAGGGGCCATCATGAAGAAAATCACAAAAAGAGTCCCAGTCAGCTTTAAGGTAGTTGTAAGATGTAAAATGATAGGGGGATTCTGATGGTAAAGAAGAATGAGATAATAGTTTTAGAGAGACCAAACCATGATAGGAGGCACCTAAGGGTGAGTGTGGTGAAACTGAGCACTGACTAGGATTAAAAACAAGACATAAGTCAAGTAGAGAAGAGGTAAATGATTCGGGTTGTCTGGAAAGCGAGTTGGAAAGTTGACTAATATAATTAGGGATTGAGAAAGGCAAAAGTTGTGGGCCTTAATGCCTGCGAAGTCACTGACACTAGAGCCAAGCCATTCAGTGTGATTAACATTGAAGTCACCAACAACAACAATATTGGCTGTTGGATAAAGAGAGAGGGTTTGGTCAATATGATCAGAAATAACATCAAGAAGAGTGCAGTCTTGAGATGAGGGAAAGCGATATAGAACAAAGAAAAAGGTGATAGAGTGAAGTGGTGCTAAATGAAAGCACATAAAAGAGTAGTCAGTGGATTCAAACCTAGTTTCCCGACAAATGGGTGAATTCTTACAAATGTAAATGCCTAGGCCAAGCATGTGACTATTGGAGTCTTTATGAATTAAAAGAAGATAGTCATCAACATCAAGATCACAAGATGAGACAGCTGAACTCAGATTAGTCTCGCGAAGAGCAAGCAGGTCTGGTGAACTTTGCAAGAGATAAGACTCAACAGAAGAAAAGTTTTTTCGAAGACCACCAATATTGGTTAATGATAGGTTTAGCAAAATTGATGATGACTGTGGTTTGTTGTGCTTTATAGTTTTTGTTACTTTATTCATTTTTAAATTTATTAAAGAACTTGATTCGAAACATAGATAGTACTTAGTACCATGTTTTATAACCCAAGCCATTGCCTCATTTCCACTAATAAACCCTAAGCCGTAACAAAGGGCTCTAATGTGGCCTTGGCAATGGACACCAAAAGTACAAACAGGGACACCATTTATGCGCAACATGGCACTGTTACTACTCTGATATTTTTCAGCTGTTGATGGAATCAGCCTCTCTGAGAGCTACCACAGAGTATGGAAAACTTGACTACCAGCCGGCCTCAGAGCCATAAAACTGAGTTTTAGAGCTGCACCCTCATTTGGAGATAATAGAATGAGTTGCCTAGTCATAAAAACAGAGACACAAAGAAAACCCATGCATCGAATCAAGAAGATCCAGCGTTTAACATCATAAACTGGAAACAATGTATTAAAAATACATCTGCGAAAGCCTAATAGATGGAGAAGGGGTGCGAGGCTGGTCAACAGATAGAATCTGTTTACCTCTTAAATATATATATAATTATCAAATTATGTTTTTTTTTTTTTTTTTTTTTTTTTTATTTGCATTTACTCCCAACAAGGCTGCAAGCAACCACTATTAAGTTGGGAGTTACTAGGAAAAAAAAGAACAGAGTTATAGAGCAAGGAAACGCTTGACAGAAGACTTGAAAAGTTGAAGGTTGTATGAGTCAGGAAAACATAAAGATGGGAGAGAGTTCCAAAGGATTGAAGTGCGGGGAAAAAAACTAGATGAATAAAAGTTTTTAGAGCATGCAGGGACAGATACAGTAAACGAATGAGACTAAACTGAATGACGAGTAAAACGAGAATGAATTTTAGTTGATGGAACTAGAGATGATAACTCCTTTGAGCAGTGACCATGATAGTATTTGTAGAAAAGAAAAAGAGATGTTTATAATGCGCAGCAGTTTTGACAATTATAATTTTATAATAATAAAAAAATAATGAAATTTCAAAAAAAAAAACGTAAAAAAGGTGTTATGGATTTCATTACTTTTTTTTGTCTATATAAAAAATTGTAAAATAATGCTATTTATAAAACATATTTTAAGTATAAATAAAAATAATTTACTTCAGATACTTCGTGATTATGTGTATTGTTTAAGTCTTGCAAGATTAATGTTTGTCCATCCTCCAATGCCTGAAAGTGTAGGTAGAAAGGGCAATTATGTCCTACAAAAAAAATGTATTAATTAGATGCTTATTTCATAAATTAAATAGGCAAAAATAAAGTATTTTTATTGCTAATAAAAAAGTTCTATGTAACAAATTATATTTGTATTTCTAAATGAAAAAAAATATTTATTATGAAATAAATCCAGTAAACTGGTGATAACTCAAGCCTTCAGGGAAGCCAAGAAATTAGTTTAAGTTTGCAAATGTTCTAGTTATCAGGATATATCACAATTCAAACTTTTACAGATAAGTAAAAATAATTCAAGTTATCAAAAGTTTTTTTTTTATTCAATCTGAAATGGTAAATAAAATAAAATCTTTATTGCAACTTTTCTAAATTGTAAAAATTGACATGTTAACAAACTGTTTGCTTTATAAGTTTCAGTAATACAACAGCAAATAGTTTCAATGCTTTTATAACAGCAACTTAAAATTGCAACATTGATCAGATCGGAAAGAGTAATAGATATGAAGCATTTATAGCAGTTAATCAAAAGCAATAATAAATAAAAATAAAATAGAAATAAAAATATAAATGAAAACATAAATTTTGTTTTCATTTATATTTTTATTTCTATTTTATTTTTATTTATTATTGCTTTTGATTAACTGCTATAAATGCTTCATATCTATTGCTCTTTCCGATCTGATCAATGTTACGAAGACGTTACTGAGACATAAGGAGATTTTATATTTTATGATTTATTTTTAAAATAGATCATAAAATATAAAATCTCCTTATGTCTCAGTTTTGAAGTAATATATTTTTTGATTGATATTATAGAAATCAAAAAAGTTTAATGAAATGTAATGAAAGAAAACTATTTTTAATAAGATTTTGTTAATATTTTTCTTCTAAAATTCAATTTATTGGGATATTATCAGCCACAGGGACAAAAAAAAGGGTTTGACTCAGGGAATTTTCGAGTTATCAAGGGGTTTGAGTTATCAACATAGTGATTTTTGTGAGAAAGTGTGAGGGAGAGTTCAACAGGAATGTTAAAACACTTTGAGTTACTAAAAGTTCAATATATCTGCAGTGTGCTGTTTTTATTAATAACCTACATAAACAAATGTTTTTGTTTTTTTCTGTTTTTTTTTTTTTTGAACTGTTACAGTACAAATTATATTTTTTATAATAAAAATATTATAAAATCTATGACTTTGTGTATATTGTTTTAATGTTTTACAATTGTTTTTATTTAAATATACTTTATAATTTTTTGAGTATCTCACTAAACTGTTATAAGATCTAGCATTATATTTATTTTGGATTTATTTGAACACTATTTTTCTATTCTTCAGGTTTAACTCTTAATATTTATTAATTCTTAAGATTAATTCATTTTTAACATTTTGAAAAACAATTCTTACATGCATCAGATTGCACAAGAAGCTAAAGAATACATAGGAAATACCATTACCCTGAAAACTTTTCTAAAGATATGAACACTAGCTAAGGTTATGGGAATTAAGTTCTTTCTATTTGGGAAAAACTGAAATTTTTATCAGTGGTGGAGATGTCTACGAAATTGCAACTTTTGTAGTAATATCTTACATGCCTTAGTTTCTTAAGTCATCTATATTAATTCATACACAATCTAAGAAAGACTTAAAACAAAAATTTAAATTTAAAGTCAAAAAAAAAAAAAAAAAAAACCATAAGAGAGAAAGAAAATGTTTAAACCTGGGCAAGTCTAACCACTTATAGTTTTTAATATTATTTTTTTTATTACTGCTTTTTTGTAACTTTCAGCTTTTCATTTTTACTGTCTAACTTGAATTATACACTAAAACTAGAATTAGTTTTGTTTATAATAATATTTTTATTACTGTTGTTGTTATTGTTATCATTGTTGTTTATAAAAATTTTAAAAGCTCAGTTTTTAGATATATTGCTTACATTACCACTATTATTATCCTTATTATATATTATTAGCATTACAAGGGGTTTAATTCATATAAGTTTATAACTATTTGCATTATAAGGGGTTTAATTCATATAAGTTTATAACTATTTGTAACTTGAATGTAAGATCTTCATTGATTGAAATAGAACAAACAGTTATAACAGTTATTGTCTGAGAATAATAATACCATCTTATAAAAAAGTGAAACAAAGTACTAATGAAGTTTGACGTTTTCCAAAGCCTTTATATTTAAATTTTTGTCCACCATGAATGCAGCAGTACTTTATAAAAGAGTATTTAATTTGTGGAGCCATAATACTAGCTCTCTTTGGAATGCTTTTTCTAGCAGCATTAATTGTCTTAGCGTCTCTAATCCATAGTTGCACAAATTTAGTATTTTCATATTTTTTAATTACTTTCAAATTAAATTTAAAATTTGCTTTCAGATCTTCAAATAACAAAAAAACAACTTTGCAAGTAAAAACAGTTGAAGTTTTCCAATATAAAATTATATTTTCCAATTCAAATCTATGAAAATCGAAATTTGTTTTTACACGTGACTTTAGCAACCAATAGACGCGCATACGGTACTATAAAATGTTTTTTTAATAAAACGCATACCGGAAAAAAATTTGTAAATAAATAACTAGTCATAGTCATAATATAAGATATTGTATATGTATATTATGACTATGAACTAGTCTAAAAAGATAATGATATCATGTCTGTGTTTTATTAAAAAAATCAAACTATTCCTTTAGATTATCTTAAAGAATGCTAACTCAATAAATGGGTGTGTGGTATTATTTTAACGTCCAATAATAATTGTGATTGTGTAATAGACTACTTTTTAATGATTTTCTATTCCATTTGGCATCAAAAGAAAGTTAAGTTAACAAGTGTGCTTGCTTTTAATATTATAACATTGTGAATTTTGGAAAGTTGTAAGTTTTAGATAAACAATTTAAATTTATTTGCTCAATGATAATATTATTTTAACAATAAAATAATAAAATTTGCTTTAATAACAGAGCTTATATATAAGCTCTGTTATTAAAGCAAATTTTATTATGTTATTGTTAGTTATATATAACTCTATAAACTTTTATACCCTAAATAATATTGAAATATTATAATTAAACCTTAACATAAGTATACATAAGGTAAAGAATAGCTTTGAGTCCACTTTTTAATCGACTTTCAGTTTTTCTATTAAACTAAATTAATATTCTGTAATTTAAAGTTTTTTCAAGTGTTTGACAACATTTTATTGCATTAGGTTGAACACTTTTTTCTTAAAAACAAAAGTTTCATATAATGTCAAGACTCGTATAAAATTAAAAAAAAAAAGATAATCGAATATTCTTGAAGACAATAAGAACAAGTGTATTAAAAATATTTAATTTCAGCAAGACTTATAACAATTGTTAAAGTTCTGTTTGATAACCATTTCGTAAGGAAGTGCATTAAACTTAAAATATGCCAGCTTAAAATATGCCAAGTATGACATTACATCCACACTTCTAATTTTAGTTTGTATAAAAACTTTATATTTAAAAAGTATATAGTTTTATTAATTATAACTCACTTAAAAATAAGTTAGTTGTAAAAAATAAAAGTAAATATTCTTTCTCTTGAGAAAAATGAGAAAAATCAACAAAAAAAAAAATCAAAACATAAATGAAAAATAAGTGTAGTAATTAAAATAACTTCAATGTCTAAGGCTAAGGCTTATTGCTAGTTTAAATAGACTAATAAAAAAATAAATGTTTCATTTTACCCTAATATCCATATATCACCAATATATAAATAAGATTATAAAAAAAACTTGCAAGTTTTTGTTACTTAATCACCTTATGAGACATAGTGATTTCTGATGTTATTTTAACAGCCAAAACCTAAAAAGTGCAAATCAAAATATCTTTACTCTAAGTAACTTTACTCTAAGTAAGTAAACTCATCACTATTCCTCACAAACAAATGGTTGTCAAACTAAAGGCTTATGCTTTAAACAAAAATATTATGTGTTAAATAAAATTACTTTTGTTCAATTGAAAACAGTGTGCGATATTTTTTTGAGCAGCATAAATATAACAAATCATGATATAATTATGAGATTGATATAATATGAAATTGTTAAATTTGAGATTGATATAATATGAAATTGTTAACATTGTTGTTACACAAGTTATTACTGAGATGAAGAAAAAGACATTGAAAATTTGTTAAATCCTAACGGCAAATGTAAAGGTTGCATATCTAGTAGGTAATAAGTCAAAAGTTCCAGTCAAGTATGCAGCAGGAAAAATTATAGTTTTTGGATATAGTTGTTTTATTAGGCTAGTGACACCAAATTAAGTAATTGAGTTTATCACCTTTTGCCTTATCTGAGTGATTTAACATACATTAAAATACTAAAAAGATTGATGGCATTTGACAATAGATGTAACCATGATGGTTTGATTTATATATACAAATTTGTAAAGTATGTAGTTGCCAAAAGTTAGTATGTTAAAAAAAAGTTAAAAACTAATGCAAAAAATTACCAAGTAGGCGTAATCAATTACTAACAGAAGTCGCAGAAAGTTCTGAATGAAGTTCAATTTTTTTTCACAAGTTAATGCTAAAGTTAATACTAACTGGAATTGATTATCTAATTAACATTGTCAGCACAAACTGCAACTTCTTCAAAAGTTTGATCAAAAAGGAACTTGTTTGATGCTATTTTGTTTAGTTTATTATTGTAACTTGTAACTGGTGTTACCTAAATATTTGTTAAGCAGGCTAGATCCAGGCCTCCTCCAAAGTTTAATAAATTATAAGGTATTGTTTTTTTTTTTTATATTTTTTGATTTAATTTATTTAATTGGATATTATTTTTATGCATCATTATTTAATCACCCTTGCTATAAAAATCATTATATTTAGCTAAAAAATTCAAATTATATAAACTTTCCAATTAAAGTTATGATAAAGAAATGTGTGTTGCAGGGTTGCTAGGTTTAAACCAAACAGTTTAAACCAATCAAAAAAATATCAATTTAAACCAAATAATTTTTTGTTAAAAATATTAAAACTATTTGTATTTGCTCATGATAAGTTGCAAAAGATCAAACAAAAATAAGGGGCGCTGTTGATGTTCATTTTTATCAACTGAAAAAAAATATGTTTTATCTGTTTTAAATAATGTTTCACCAATAGAATGGTGGAGATAAAAACAAAAATAAGGGGCGCTGTTGATGTTCATTTTTATCAACTGAAAAAAAATATGTTTTATCTGTTTTAAATAATGTTTCACCAATAGAATGGTGGAGATAAAAACTTTGTACTGCAACATTATCATGGATATTAAAGGTTTGTTAAATGCACCAGCTTCAATTTCAATTTCAGCTAGTGCTTAAATTGAAAGAATTTTCTCAACTTTTGGGCTTGTTCATTCAATTGGGGATGAACCTTATTATTTATTGCTTTATTAAGTTTCATTAATTTTTTTTCAGACCATATGCAGCTTATAAGGACTATTGTCCCATTAGTTTTAAAGAAAATTAAAGTTTGCATGTAAAAATTTTTTTTCTATAAAAAAGAAAATAATACAGTAAAATCTTTTTTTATGAGTAAGATCCTTTTCATCAAAGAAATTAATGTAAAAATTTATGAACAAATAAGAAGACATCAATAAAAAACATATGCTGTCAAAAAATTCTTTCACAAATTTATTGTAAGTATTTATTAGATACAACCCCTAATTTAGTGATTATTTTTGATTATTATAAAAATTATTAAACACAATTTAAAGTCATCACAAAAACTAAACTGACAATATAATATGATTCTGACATGGAAAATCATAAACACTGTCACAGCAGCAAATTATTTTAATATTTTACATGTTCTGCTGACTGATATTTTGACGGTGTTTAGTGTAGAAGCAGAATGTATACCTTTTTCAACAAAATTTTTTTATAAATATATCTTGATATTAAAAAAAAAAAGAAACAAAATTGGTATTTTTTTACAAATAAAATTTCACAAAAAAGGTTAATAAAAATATACATATTTAAATAAAAACATTTAATTACTCCTTCGATTTGTTAATGTAGTTAAGTATTTTCCCCTTTCTAACTTTAACTCCACTGTTAGTCTATAATAATTTGATTAGATAATTATGTTAGACTAACTGTTATTCTAACATAAAATTATTTAAAACCAATAAAAAGTAAAAAACACCTTAGTCATATCGAAAACAAGGTCATCTTTAGCATCTATAAAATTAACAGCCTGTCAAGAATCAATGCATCACCTACAAAACAGAATATGTTTCATTAAGTAAAACATTAAAAAATTAGGCTTAAGTAACTTTAAAAACAGATTAAAAAATTAAAAATTACATACTATTTATAAAAAAAATAATTGAAAAAAATACTATTTATAAAAAAAATAATTTATCAAGAATAGAAGTTATACTTTTAAAAACAATATCTGCTATTCCATCTGGTAGATCTAGTTCTTGTAACTTATCTTCTCTTTGTTAAACCTTCAACACTTGATAGTCTTTTTGAGTAATACCATCAAAGTGCAGTGACAGCTTTCTAACTTTAGTTTTTTTTAATTTCTTCTGTCAGTTTAGCCTTTTCTTTTATTGTTGAATTGTATATAACCAGGACTTTTCAAATATTTTGCTAATGTTAGACTAAAAAAAGAAATTGATCATTAGTTTGTGTGGTCCATTAGAGAACCAGTTTAACGTGAATTAAAAAAAGCATAAATTATGATTCAATATGATTACATTTATACTCAATATGATTACATTTACTGAGTATAAACAAAATAAAAAACAAGATAAAATTACATTCATATTCGTTTTTTTACATTACATTCATTATGGGATAATGAATGTAATGTAAAAAAACGAATATGAATGTATTTTCATCCTATTTGTTATTTTGTTTATACTCAATAAATGTAATCATATTGAGTATGAATACATTTATATCATTTATATAATATTGTATATCTCATTTTTTCTTTTTTTAAATTATTCTATTTATTAAATGAAATATTACATTCAACACAGCTAAAAAATAACAAGCATTTATTCATCTTCATATCATATTACAAAGTAATTTAATATGAATGTTAATGTGTGCTTGTTATTTTCTAGTATAATCTTTACTTAATCTTTGCTTGACACAATTCCAAAATTTTATTCAGCAGAATTAAAATAACTTAAACAGCTTTAAAATAGAAATTTATATTTCTTTGTTTTTAATTTATCTAATCTTGATAAGTTGATAACAATCTTTTGTTTGTTTAAAATGTGACAAAGATCTTTTTGTTTGTGTGTAAAAGATTTTAATTATTATTGTTTAAGATATATTAAAGAAATTCATTATGTTACCTTTATTTTAAAATTTTTTACTTTTAAAATAAATTTTATTAGTCAAGTAGTTACTATAGTTATCCAATTTTTTAATTTAAAATTAGTTTTTGTTATTGCATTTAATATTTAATAAGTTGTTTATGAGTAATTGATTCCATTGTTTAATTTTTACTGTTTAGTAGATCACAATTATATTTTTGTAACATTAACATTAAAAGACATCCATTGAATATCATTTTATGATCAATCTCTGTTGGTTGGTAAATTATAATGTTGACTTATAATCTGATTATTGAACAGCATTGATTCTTTTTAAATAAAAATATACATAAAAAGCAGAAAAAAAAAATCGTTCTAAAGTCAGGGTTAAAAAGTAGGGTAATTGAGTGATCAAGTCCTAATGTATAAAGTTTGAGTTATCAAGTCCTGAGGAATAAATTTGAGTTAATTTGAGTTATAATGTTCTGTAATATGAAATTTAAGTCATTAAGTTTGGGATTACAAAATTTGAGTTATCAAAATCCGAAGTGTGAAGTTAGAGTTATCAAGTTCTGAAATATGAAATTTGAGTTATTTTAATCAACTTTCGAATTATAAAAAAAGTAACAAAATATTTTTTTGAAATCAGTTTAAGGAACACATATTTCTTGTATTATGACAAACAAAACAAAATAGAATAATTTTTGAAATATCTTTTAAGCGTAAGCTAGAAAAATACTAAACAAATTAAGAGAAACATAATATAAATACTACATATGCATAAAATAAATACTAGAGATAAAAGTACTTAAGAAACATAATTTAGAAAATTCTTACAGAATAGAATTCTAGAGAAGCATAATTTAAAAAGTTATTACACTTAGAATTGTAGTTTTGAATAGCGTTATTTTTGGTTGTTGGGTGTGAGAGAAAACTCCTTGAAAATAAAGTTGTCTTGTAAAATCAAAATGTAAAAATAGTGTGTAATTTTATATTATATAACATAAATGAATTAAAAAAAATTAAGTAAATTAAATTGATGATAAAAAATAGCAAATATAAATTTGTTAAAAGAAGTTACAAGTTTAGAATTAGCACATTTAAATCATAAAAATTTTAATTTGAAAATAAAAGTTGAAATAAAATAAATTTTTAGAGAATACTTTTACTATTTAATTTTCTGATTTTTTAGTTTTTATAAAATTTGTAATTTATTATTTTAGTGATTTTAAATATACTTTTATGTCTATCAAATTTTAAAAAATTTAGTTTCAGATCAAGTGACTCTTGTTATTATACTATAAAGTAAATTATTTTATTTAGAATTTTTGCAAAAAGAAGATTTGTCCTTTATCAAACTTCAATGCAATCAAGTTCACCTTTTTTTTTAAATATGTTCATGCACTTTTTTTTTGAATAAGGTTTTAAAAAAGAAAGAACATAATGGAATTTGAAATAGGAGTAAAAAAAACAGAGAACAAGAAAAAAAAAGTAAACTTAAAGATGACATTCATGATAAGCTGTTGCTACCTGTTGTATTCAGGCTAGCTAATTAATAAGTTATGGTTTTATATGAAGACTGGATTTTTATTGATGCAACTATATATTTAGATTGTATCATAGTATCATTAGCAAATAAAACGAATTTAGAGCAGTTAGAGAATAAAGACTTAAATTAAAAATTTAAATTTTAAAACTTAAATTTGACACAAAAAATTAAAATGTAAGAAAAAGATTATGGTCAAGTTTGCTAGGCTCTGTTACAAGTTTTTTTTATATCAAGAAAGCAATTAAATCTCATTTCACCTATTCCATCTAATGCAGATTAGAGCATTTCTGTTATTTTTAGTTATCATCAGTAGAATGACAGTATTGAAATATTTATAACATTGGAAATTTGTTAAATCTCAACAAATTTGTTAAATTTACAACCATGATTAGAGTAGGGGATCTAGATTACAACCATGGGTAGAGCAAGGGGTCTAACTAAAATGCAAGTAAGGTTGTTAAAGTTAATGGCTTTTCTCATAGTGAACTTATGATTATTTAAATTTTAGCTTCCTTTATTTTATATTTTATGTTAACATAACTAAATTAAGGAAGAACTGCTGTAAGTTATTTTATTTTGATTGTTTATAGCTCAATAAAAGGAGATTTTGAATTTTACAGTAATCGCTTAAAATAAAATGACTTATGGTGTAGACATAAATTTGAGTATGAAAATGCTTTTTAAAAAAAGTTAATTTTGTAAAAATGATCATTTTTTTTGTATATTTTATTTTCAACTTAGGTTGTATGATTCTGGAATCCCTAATCAGCATTTAATGCTAATAAATAAAATCTCAGTAAATAGTTAACCATAAAAACAAAGTTTTTAATATATGAATATATATAATACTTATTTAACAGATCATTATGTACATTCTATAATACTATTTAAGACTATATATAATATTTATTTAACAGATCATTATGTACTTCAAATGCAGCACTTTTTGCTGACGATACAAAAATATTTTACCCTATTACTAATTTGCATTCACACACCGTACTTCAAAATGATATTGATATCTTGGTTGACTGGGCAACTAAATGGGGGATGAAATTTAATATAGAAAAATGTTCAGTTTTACACCTAGATCATAAAAATAAACATCTTGTCTATTCTATGTACGATCCAGTGAAGAAAACAAGGATTGATATCAAATCTACCAACTCAGAAACTGACCTCGGAGTACATATCGATAATAACTTGCTATTTTCTAAACATACCTCTACTCAAGTTAATAGGGCAATGCAGATGCTATTTCTAATAAAAAGATCTTTCTCTTATCTTAATTCATTTTGTTTTAAAAGACTGTTTTCAGCACTAGTACAACCATATTTAGAATATTATGGTTCTGTATATAACCCTCGTCTACTGAAAGACAAACGACAAGTTGAAAATATACTCAGAAGAGCATCTAAATCAGTTCATGGATTAAAAAGTCTGACATATCATTAAAGACTATTAAAAATTAATATGACAACCATAAGATACAGACTAATCCAGGAAGATTTAATAAACATCTATAAATGGCTAAACAACTACTACAACTGTCAAACAATCTTTCCAAAAACAATTATAAATTCTATTACAAGCAGGCTTGGTCGGGAAGCGGGTGCGATCGCACTCGATAATTGACCACGGAAATTATATTTACTTGCGAAAAGCCGGCCAGGTTTTTCAGGCGTTTTGAGAACATTTCAGTTTATGTATGTTTCCTTGTTTGTCCGCAAAATAATAAGTTCATTTTACCGTAAATTCACAAGATTTTTTTTTACGGACGTCTATGGAAACTTATATAAACTTGAATGTTGCCAAACGTCTTAGTGCGGAAAAATAAATAAAGAACATTCGCGAACACAAAAAACCCGCCAAATTTACGAACAACTAATTCTATTAGTTCAATTAATAAATAACTGAAATTACTACGCGACTGTTCTAGAGTATTCTGTTGAATTATTTTTCAAAATCTTTTTTTTTTGTTTTTGTTTTTGTTTTTGTTATTTTTTCGTTGAGAATTCTAGCATCAATTGTTTTAAGAACATACTATCAAACGAACAATTATTTTAATACAACGGCTCATTCTCAGAGTCACATCCATAAAGCTATAAATGTTTTAAACTAACATTTGTTTACAAAAATAAATGTTTTAAATTTATATTTTTTAACTTGTCAGCGTTTTGTAAATATATTATAGATTTAATTAGTATAATCTTTTTTTTTATATATAAGGGATGTATTTATATGTATGTAATGTATTAGAATATTATATGTATGTAATAGAATATATATTTATTAACTTCAATTATTTTTGCTTCAGCCATTCTTACAAACTCGTTATACTTACACTTAAAGTTTTTTTTTCTGTAAAATACTAGTTAAAGATATAAAGCCCACTCACTAAACATCATCAGCGATATTGTTAAGCAGTTCCGCTTCCTCCTTACAAAGTAATTTAATGTTTTTAGTTAATTTCTATCTAGCTAATTAAATTTCCACAGTAACTCAATGATTTAGTTATTTCATTTGTTCATCTTACTAAGAAGAATTGTTTCAAATATGTTAAACTTTTCAAACTACGCGAAGCATAAAACAGGTACTGAAAAAACTTTTTTTTATTTATAATTAAATTATATAGCGTTAGTTTTATTGGTTTAAACTTGTTGGACTTTACAGGGCCGGGGGCTGCATTATTTTGGTAGCCTTTTTTATGTGCAACAGCGTAAAAATGACTTAAAAATACCGATAAGTCCTCTTGACTATTTCTCGGCCCATAGCATTGTGTGTCCCGGGACTATAGCTCTTCTCCCCCCCCCTCTTATTTCCACCACTGGAAATAAGACATAAGTATATAAATAAAAATTATATATAATCTTTGATTAATTTAAAAACATTTGTTTCTTTATTAAACAATCATTATTAGTACGTTGTTACTATATACAAAAAATGTCGCTTTTTTTTAAAAAAAAAATTATGAAAGAGCGACGTTTCAAAAATATTTTGAAACTCTAATCGTATTTATTTTGCTTAAAGTTTTGCGTTAAAAGCTATTTTTCTTTTTTTTAACTGTCTCTCATCGGTCCAGTGTATCTTATTGCGTTGTTTTTGAAATGTTCTCAAAACGCCTAAAAAATCTGGCCGGCTTTTCGCAACTAAATATAATTTCCGTGGTCAAATATCGAGTGCGATCGCACCCGCTTCCCGACCAAGCCTGATTACAAGAGGACTTTCATTTAAACTAGAAAAACCTTATTCTCGTCTAGCTTCTCGTCAATACTTTTTCACCTTACGAGTAATCAACAAATGGAACTCCCTCCCAGATGACATTGTAAATGCTACATTCGTGAGCAATTTTAAAAACAAACTCGAAAATTATCTAAAAGAAGAAAAAACAATTTATGATTAGTATATTTATATAGTAATCATAAAACAGGTTGACCGGCATTTCATGCCTATACAAATCAAATTTGTAAACCTTAATAATAATAATAATACATCGAATAATTGAACAACATATTCTAAAAGTACCTAAAATAGCAATTTTAAAAGCCATTAAAAATAGAACTACTTTTTACCTTAATGGACCTTTTTAACCTTACTATGCGTCTGTATATATTATATTTATATATTTTTTTATAAAGATATTTTCTTGATATTAACTTATTTCTTATCTTTTTACAAGTTTATTGTATGATTTATTAAAGGTTTTTACAAAAAAATGGAAAATGGTCTATTTAGCAGCTTAGTTAAAACAGAAGGTATATGTTTTTTTAGTTTTTTGTTTTTATATTTATTTAATTATTTTAATGATTTTAATTTAAAACTTTAAGTTATATATCGACAAATGATATAATAGCAAAACCCTAATAATCAGTAAATAGCAAAAACTATCAACACAAATCACAAGGCTCGTTGCTTTAATTCATACTCTTTAAGCTCTGCAGTTCTAACAACACATTTCTTTCTAAATATTAAAGTGTTGTTTTGCAGAGTATGACTTTAGGTAATTATTGTAATTATTATAAGTAATATTTGGTGTAATAAAAAATTGCTTTAGGCACTTTTTTAAGCGGAGTTTTACAAGGTTCTGTACTTGGTCCAATATTATTCATCATCTACATAAATGACTTAACGGATAATTTAAAATCAGATTATAAAATTTATGTTGATGACACTAAACTGTTGCAAGAAATAAGACCTAAATTTCATGATGCAGATTGTCTGATTCTTCAAAATGATTTAAACATTGTCACAAAGCAACAAAAATTCCTCAAGTTTACCTAATGCTGAAAGGTGTCGGCCTCTCAATTTTACTTCTTTGGAAACATGCAGACAATGCGGCGACTTTATCCAACATTTTAATCTTGAAAACACTTTTGAAGTTACTAATTGGCGTAATCCACCTCTTTGCAGATCACCATCCAACGAACTAACACATGATTTCACAGGCAATAATGCTTGACATTTTTTCTTCACAATAATGCTCGACAATTTCTTCACAAATCGTATTGTGAATTATTGGAATTATTTACCGTTGTTATGCAAAAGGCTCTTAAAGTTTTAATCTTTAATTTTTGTTTCAGATAATTATACTGTAAATGTAAAACATCATTAAGATTACATAACATCACTAAGTAAAATTATTGATTAAAATTTTTGCTGAAGTATTAAAAATAATAATATAAATATTATTAATAAAAAATAGTATTATTAATATAAAAGCTTCATTTAATATTTATGAAAGGTTTTTTAATACTATCAATATTAATTGTACTTTAAGAAAATTTGTTAATAGGAGAAAAACGGGTTGAAAAAACCATCCTGTATTTGCAAGGCTGGTTCTCCTAATTATGATTTTTTTCTTCTTAAACAAGGTCCAAAAAGACATTATTAACTTAGTTTGACCTGTTCTATTTACTAAGATTGAGCCACTCTTCCATTTTCATAAACTTGCATCTCTTTTACTTTTTTACAAATATTAGCATTCAGCCCTACCAACAAACACTCATTTCAACTTGACTTGTCATTCATCAAATTTTCTTTTTTGTCTTTTCATTCCTGTTTTCTTATTGTATTCTTTTCATTTCAGTTTTTTCATTCCTGATCAAAAATCTTTTATCTATCTTGTTTCTTTCCTTGCACTTCAATGCTTTCCATTCTCTGTAATCTTTATGTTTTTTATAATCATGTAACCTTCAACTTTTTTTTCTCTATACCTGTTTCCTTGCTCTTTAACACTGTTCTTAGTTTATAGTAAGTCTCAACTTTATAGTTAATAGTTCTTTCTTTGTTAAAAGTGAATTAGTTAAAAAATTAAAAATAAAAATACAAGCAAACAGATTGTTTTTAAAAAAAAAAACTCTTCAAGTTAAATTGAAAACTCACAATTATCAAGTAGAAACTCAAATTGAAATTACAAAATCAAACTGACACCAGAAAAGAATTTATTGTATATTATAGTTTTATATATTTTATATGCATATTAAAGGGTAAACAGGTTCTATTTGCTGACCAGCTTCACTTCCCTTCTTCATCTATTAAACTGGTGTAGATATGTTTATAATACAACTTTTTCTATTATCTCTTAATAAAAAATCTCTTAAACAAAGTTTTTTTGTTCTGAGGCTGGCTGGTACTCAGGTTTCCTAAACTCTGTGGTAGCTCTCAGTGAGGCTGATTCCATTACCAGCTGTAAAATATTAGAGAATTAATGTTTCCAATGTTGCATATAGATGGTGTCTCTTTTCGTAATTTTGGAGTGCATTGTTGAGGCCACATTTGGACCCCCTTACGTTAGGATTTATTATTAGTAATTTAAAGATTGCTGTTACGACAGGATTTATTAATAGTAATTTAAAAATTGCTTGGGTTATTTTCTTTTAATTTTTTAAGCTCCAATTGTCACATGCTAGGCTTGGGCTTTTACATTGGTAAGAGTTTATCCATTTGTCAGGAAACTAGGTTTGAATCAACAGACTATTCTTTTATGTGTTTTTGTTAAGCACCACCACTCTATTACCTTTCACTTTGTTCTTTATTACTCTCCTTTATCTCAAGACTTTTTTTGATGTTATTTTTTAATTAAATTTACCTATCCCTTTCTTTTTATCTTTCAGCCAATATCGTTGTTGTTGGTAACTAATGTTTATCAGGCATTAAAGCCCACAAGTTTTGCATTTCTCAATCTCCAACATAATTAGTAAAAAAAAAAGAAAAAAATATAACTATTTTTATAAGCTAAAAATTAAACTTAAGATTTAATTTTTCTTTATTATTTTCTGCATAGTAATTATTTGAAGATGTTTAAATTTGAATTTAGTTTCTCAGCAATACCTATCAAAAAGAAAAAAAATTTTTTACTTAAACAGGTATTTCTTCCCTACTAAAACTCAAAAAAGCGTCTCTATTTTTAGCATAATTTATTTAATTTTGCATGATTAATTTATGCATAGTTTTGTATAATATACTAGTGGACTTTGACCATCTTCTGCTGCTTTTCAAAAACCTTCCTAACCAATGTTTTATATTTTATTATTTGTTTAACCAATTTTATATGCATATTATTTGGTAAACAGATTATATCTGCTTACCAGCTTTGCTCCCCTTCTTTATCTATTAGAATAACTTCGATGTGTTTATAATACATTATTTTCCAATTGATGTTTAATGATCTTCTTGACATTTTTAATATTTTTATTTAATAGTTCAATTTATTAAGTTCATTTGTTATACTAATTTTTTTAAGAATATATACTGATTTAAAGATTTGATAACTTATCTCTGTAGCTGATATGATTATAAATTTGGATTATAAATTTGGAATCAAAGACTGACTTTATATATGACTGGTTATAAATACAGTTATTAACACCAATTTTTCTTTTGTTTTTTGTTTTTATTAATTTGTTTGCCTTTTTTTTTTACATGTTTAAAGTTTAAATTTTTTATGTTTAGTGTCTAGAAATGAATTGGCTTCTGATGAATTTATTTCAAAATGTTGTGGTGAAATAAGCTATAATATTGGAAGTGATTGGTTGCGATGGGGAAGACACCTCGGTCTAAGTGATTCAGACCTTGATAACATTGGCTCTGATAACAAAAATTGTTATGAAAAAGCTGATAATGTTTTTAAAAAATGGAAACAAAAAATTGGAAATCCTTCATGGGAGCAATTAAAAAAAGAATTAATGGCTTTTAATCGATTAGATATTGTGATTAAAATTGAAACAAAATTTGGTGGTAACAATACTAAATATGAAACATATTTTCTTTTTATTTTCTATTTTCTGATATGTGTTTTCTATTTACTGATATGATAAAACTATGTATCGTTGGCATGCACTTTACTTTACTATTTTAAAACTATAGAAATTAGGGTCGGCATTCGGCAATGCCAACCTCAAACACTTTTAGCTTGGCATTCAACCCCTTACCCTGACTTTAACTCTAACCCTTACATCTAGCAACTCTAGTCTTGGCGTGCGACTATTTAATTTATTGCACATAAGAACATTACACAGCAAGCATCAATGAGCACTTTTTTGTGACTAGAATTATTATGTCTACTCCACTAAAAAGTTTGTCATTTATGGATTACTTAAGCACAAAAGAAAATCATTAATAATTAGAAGTGAGCATTTTATCAGTTTTTTACCAATAGTTAGTAAAATATTTATTAAGCTGTTACAAATAAGACTCTATTTAGTTTTTTACCAATAGTTAGTAAAATATTTTTTGTATATCTAACGTATTTATAATAATTCTAATGTGACAATTCGTCACTTTAGAGTTATAGGGTTCTATCTGCCTTTTTTTATGTTGTGAGAACTTAACTTTCAATATTCATTTACAACTAGTTTTACAGCTGTTATTCATTATAATTATAATTTATAAGTTGTTTATGTTATCTGTTAAAAATGTTAAAAAATGATATATAGTGTATCATTTTTTAAGTGGTTTGTTTTTATTATTAATTATTAATTAAAACTTTGATTGTTAAATTCTTTCAACATAAAACAAGGCAGATAGAACCCTATAATTCTCATGTGACGAATTGTTAACCAAGTTATGTAAATTGCAGGAAATAATTTCAGATGAGTCATATTTAAGTTACAAGAGCAGACTAGCAAACTAAGTTGGGTTAAACATAAACACCTAGATATTGGTCTTGGGGTGAGTGAATGACAAACAGTGAAAACCTCTTTTAAAACAGACTTGGCTAGGATTGTTAGATGTCAGGTTTTTACAAAGGTAAAAGTGTTTTGATTTTTGTAGGTTCGGTTTTGTATTCTTCCATGTAAAAGCCAGTCATCTAGCAACTCTAGTCTAAGGAAGCCTTTTCTGCCTAATCATATTTTTCTGTAAGCTCTCAGTATTTTTACAGACACTTTCAATGTTTCAATTTAAGTTTTAATAAACAAGGTCATGGATAAAATTGAATAATTTTGATAAATTATTAGGTTTTTTTATAGTTTCACAACACTATTTTCTTTTTGCTCAGTTTTTTGGGTGCAGTTTCATTTGTTTTTATTTCACTCTGGTGGTGTTTTGCTTTGTTTTAGCTCCACATGATTTTAACTGTCCAAGTTTTTTCAGTTTCATACTAGGTTTGTTACAAAACATGAAACATAGACAAAAAATTTTATAAATTTTCAGGAAGTCAAAAATTATATGAAAAAACATTTGTAATTAAACCTAGCAGGAATGTGTTGAACCCTTTTAGAATTTTTTTGTTATTATTTTCTATAGATACATTTTTAGTGTTATTTTTTTGCTCCATATTTTTATTTCAAGTTTTAGTTATAAATAAAAACTTTATATTATTTAGAGATTTCAAGTTCACCAAACAAAGATTTCACTGTTTTTTCCAATAAAGGTAATTTTTTAAATTGGTTTACGCTTTGTTTGCTTCAAAAGTAAGAACATTATTTTAATGTTAAATAATTTATTAAGTCAAGTTCTTTTATTAAGTTTTAACTTTTTCATTTGATTTTCAATTTTTTTTATTAAACATGCATTTTTATGTTTACTTACTTTGCTTATTTTATTATTGTTGCTAATCATCAATTTTGTTCATTGTGTTACTGGCTTATGTAAATTTATATCTCATTGCTTGTTTCACTACAATACTTTTTATACAATGTTCACATAATAATTTACGGTAATAATGTAAAAGTCAATAAAGTAAAAGGGGTTTACAAATAAAAATAAAATTGTAATTAATTGTTTTATTCTTATTTAAAGCTATAATTAATACCCTATTTATAACTATTTATAACTATAATTAATATTATGACAGTATCATTAACTTGTTTGAAAAACAAAACAAGAAGAGAGCTTATTGTCAAGATGCAGTATTTTTGTTGCTCAAGTTTAGTTTCATGATGCTTTTATAATATTTTAAAGTTACGTTATGTATTGTAATGAAAACAAGACTCTTTGCATAATGTGCAAAATGTCAGTTTTTTTTAGGTAACCGAAGCATAACATTTTACATAACGATATTTAATACTGTGCACCTAAAACATACTAAACACTAGTTTATACGTAAAACTATATAAAAGAGCCTGGGTCTTATTGTAGTTTTATAGATGATAACAAGATAGATGATAAAAAGCTTCTTGTCAAGGTGCGGTGTTCTTGTTGCATAAGTTTCATGATGCTATTGTTTTGAGATTAATTTCGAATAATGTGTGTTTACTTTTACTGTATTTTTTCAAAGATTTTTTTGTAGTTGCAAGTTTGACTTTAAAAGTGTTAACACAATAAAATAAAATAAAAAGATGTTAATTGGATTCACTAAGTATTTTAATTGAGCTCACTAAGTATGTTATAATTCCTAGATGTAGCAGTGTCACAATTTAAATAGTAATGATAAATAATTCTTTGTTTTGTTAACAAAACGACTGAAAAATCTGGCCAGTTTTTTGCAACAAAATATTATTTCTGTGGTCAGTATTCCCACTTCCTGGCCAAGCCTGCTCTAAAAGTGTTAACTACTCTCAATAATTAGTTGGTAAGTACACTACTAATATTTAATATTTTAATTGCTTACCACAGCAAATCCCATCTGTTATAAATGTTTTTTTATTGTTTAATATTTATGACTTATCTAGATATGGAATATCTAGATGGACTATATATTTTGTCGGTGGTTTTAGGTGAATCAATTAGCCTGAAATAAATTATAAATAACAATCCTTTGTAAAGTAGGCATTGCTCTAAAAGTGTTCACTGCTCTTAATAATTGGTTGGTTAGTTCGCTTGCAATTGAACTAGAACTAGTATTAAAAAAACTTATTAAAAGTTATTCTAACTCACTTGAGGCTTTTTTCAGTAAACAATACCTTTTGACATATTTGTCTTTACTTTATTGTAACTGCAATAGTAGTTTAGTGGCACTTTAGAAATCAGATTCAATGATTACATCATTTTCCAAGATAATTCTATTAAGGCACTATGCATATTTTGGAAAATAACTATGTAATGTTTTAAAATACATTATTTTGTTCATAGAAGTTTTTCAAGCATAAATATTTTGATAAAAAACAACTTTATTTTATGTTTAAAATGAGTTATATATTCATTAATTCTTATAGTTGGTAAAATATAAAGGAAGAAGAAAAATTAATTCTTATAGTTGCTAAAATAATAAATGAAGAGAAATATAAAGCAATCTTTTCTACCATCTGTTTTTTAATTAATAGTTTTTTTTTAACTAATTTACTCTAACAAGGCTGCAGGCAACCACTTTTTATGTTGGGACATACTAGAAAACAAAAATATTTTTAAAATGCAAAAAAATTGGTTGTCAGATTAATCAAAAAACTGTTAATTGTATCAGCTAGATTTCTCGTAGCCATTTTTTTTTCAAGTACTTTATAGTAGTTTATTAAAAAATTAATCAAAGTTGCGTTATATAAAAATGTTGTTTTATTAATTTTTAAGCTTTATTTTTAAGTTCCTTTCACACTAAAGTCTTTTAAGTACATTTATAGTTTTCTGCATCAAAAAAGCATACATGTTTGTTTTCATATTTTGCACTTAGTTGAATACCAGGTCATTTTAGATCGTTATTAAAATAGAAGTATTGCAGGAACTGTATTTTTTAAGTTACAGCCGAAGAAGTTTAAAAAAAATATGAGGACCCATAATTCCAATTTTCATAAATTTTACCCATTAATTAATACCCATGGATAGCAAGAATATATAACAAATAGTGGTTTTAATAATTTCAGGAGAAATTTGTGAACCAAGATTTGTAGCCTCGCTTATTTTCTTTTCTTTTGCAACTTTGAGGCATAGCTCCTTAAATTAACAAAAACGAAGAGCTTGAAATTTTCATAAGAAATAGTCATTTTTACATGAGCAAATAGTATATACACAAATTTTACTCATTATCTTTTAATTTTAAATTTCTCTTAAGTTTTTTTCTTTTTCAATTCGTCTCCATGCAAAAATCTTCATTAGTAAAAAATATTATTTCTTTTTAACTTTAAACAGTTTTTAAAAACTGCTCCTTTATCTTTATAGTCCAATAAAATTAGATTCATCAATTGTCTCTCTAATACTTGATCAAGATTTGCATTTAAAAGTTTTTAAGTATTTTAGTATTTTATTAACTTTCATCTTATTGGAGATTCATGTCTAAATAATAGCGTCTAAATTAAATTCTCCTCAACTTTGAAAATCTCTGAAACCGTCTAAAAAATGACAATATGAAGTTAACTCAAGTTTTTTTTCTATTCATTTACAAGTCTTTACAGATAAGTTTTCTGATTAATTACTATTGTCTGCAATAAATTGGCAAGACATAAGTAACTTATTGCAAAGTCTCAAATATATCTAAAAATATTTTGCCAGTTTTCCTTAAAACTTCATTTAAACATAATATTGTTTTTAAAAACATAACACCAAAAGTTTAAAAAGTTTATTTTTTCTGTTTTTATCCCAACACTTTTACAGCATAAAAATATGTTTTTAATTTCAAATTAAATAAATCTTATTGTAACATTAAATTGGTTATACTGTTTTGGGTACTTCATCATCAAATCATTTAGTCCATAGAATTGTGTCTTCCTTTTTGTTTTATAATTTGATACATGATTGCTATTTGTTAAAAAAAACATTGCACGCAAAATTGAAAATTTTAGCTAATGTTTAGCAGTTATCAAGATATGGCAATTTTTATATTGGCCTGATTTCCTAAAACAACCCGGTTTTTATGACATTTTGAAAAAACAATCAGTGTAATAAAATAAAAAAATAATAATAACAAAAAAATGAAAATAAATATTTATAATACTTTTTTGATGCAGTATTCAAAAAAGGTACTTGTAATGCTAAAATAAGAAAGTAATTGTTTTTAAATTATTAAAACAACAAGTTTATATAACCCAAATTTTGGGCCGTCAAAAAAAAAATTTTTGCTTATAATAATTTTAGTTACTTAGATGCTTACATGTCAACAAAGATCTGGAAAACAACAACAACATGTAGAACTATAATTTATTATTGTGTTGTTAGTATCTGTACTACACCTCTTTGTCTCAACCCTGTTGTCCTCAATATAAACTGATAAAAGCTACAAGTACTAGAATTATAAAAATTCATACAAGGCTTCTGTGATTTTCTGTGAGAAATTGTATAAACAATATCAAAGAAATTATTTTTTCCAAGATTGATAAAGATTGACTGAGGAATTGTGCACCATTTTGGAAACAAATCTAAGTAGAATAATTTCTAAAACTAAAAGCTATCTTCAATTTAATCTATAGATAATAATAGCTTTAAACAAACAAGTGAAGATGCTAATTGAACAGGTATTTTTTATTTTTCTGACATTCAATGTTTTCAATCTACTCAGCAAATAAACATTAATACATTGAAATTTTACTGCAAATTTGGTAAATATATTGGTTGAACAGTATGAAATTCAGCATCCTTTAGTCAGTAATAACTCAACTACTTCAAAAAATTTTTTGATTTATTTTCACACGGATGCTAATTCATTGTGGTTTAACTTTAATGGCAAAAAAATCATGGGATAAGTGTTTTTACCGAAAAAAAATCATCACACTGTGCAAGCGTGCATTCTTTGTTTCTTATTCATTTTCATTATTTTTCCATTCTTTGATTTATTCCTTTTCTGGCATTCTTCCAAGAAGTTCTTTATCTAAAATTTTTTTAATGACATATAGTGAGTGACCAAAATTCGGTTCGGTTCTGGTTCCAGTCATAAATTTGGCTGGAATCAAAATTCCTGTTTTGGTTCCAGCTAGATTTGAGACTTCGGTTTCGGCCGGAATTTCAGTTCAAAATGCAACTGAAAATAGATATTATAAAGCTTTGTTTTAAATAAATTATTTAGCATTGTAGCGTAAATATATTTTGATTAAAAATATTTAATTAATTTTTTGCTAGTTATTTCAACTTCTTATATTATTTTTTGTGTCTGATCGCGTTGTTTCTTTTAACATTTCTGGTTTTTAATTATCATGTTTAAAATACGATAATCTAAAAATTTAATGACGCTTCAATGTTATCTACATTGTACAATCATATGTTTATGGACTTGATTATTTATTTATTTTAATTATCACATGAATTGGTAACGGTAAAATTTTTATGAATTTGGTGATTTTTTAAAATATCACGTGGAATTTGTTTGAAATAAATTAAAAAGTTTTTATTGGCTTCATTCATTTTTTTAAAGCAAGTTGTTTTAATGTTTTCTCGTTGTTAAAACATTAAAACAATAATGTTTTCTTGTCATTATTACTTTTTTAATGGTTTCTCGTTTAAATTGTTAATTGTCTTTTTAATGAACTTTTTAATGTATTGAACTTTTTAATGTAACCTAAGAAATTTTTTTTT